CACTAAGTTTGGTTTCGTTGTGTTTTATGTACAAATCCAGAAATTAAAAATAGTAAATTTTAAGAAGTGATATTTGCAAATACAAACGACAAAGATTTAAATAAAACAGTCTTTTATAAAAAAAGATATGTTTTCAGATAATTAAGATAAAAAAAAACATTATTATCTACTGAAAAAAGTTTTTGAATTGAAAATAAAATTGGACGTTTTTTTTCTCTAAAAAATAAAGATCAAGTTATTGAAATGTACATACATTTTAGATTCTTAATACCAATTACTTTCTTTAGCTTTCTTTTTTTCTTGCAGTCTTTCAGTTTTTTCCCAATAATTTTCAGGTGTTTTGCTGTTCAGAAATTCATTTCTTGAAAACAATTTTATTCGCTTTATCGGACGCAGATTTAAAAATCAGTTCTTTTAATAAATTTGTTTCCACTCAAGTAAAGTATCAATATTTCTCAAGATTTATTTCAACGTTATTCAAACAGGAATTATTTTCTGTTAAGAAACTGGATCATTAGTAAAATAATATATTTCTCTTGTTACTATGGAAACGTAAATTGTATTGTCATAAACATTTTATGAGTTTGATATAATTAACTGCTAAATAAATAATAAAATATAAGAGAAGTAAAAACTCGAAGGAATGTTTCTGTATATTATAGAACTTTCACCATAAAAAAATTATTTGAATTTTCACCGAATTTGAATTATTTTGGACATTTAAATGATGGAACAATGCGATGAATTTATTTTAACTTTTTCCAACAAGGCTTCAAAAAAAATGAATTAAAAAAATGATTACTGCTATATTAATTACAATGTACTTTTTGCACGACTAATAAAATAAGGTTCTCTCCGTACATTTAACCAATGATGTTAAATTTTCGACCCTTGAATATCGTTCAGCACGACATTATTGATGTGTATACATGATATTTGGTACTTTTGGTTTCTTCGTTTTGGCCTTTTTCAACTTGGGTGGTTCCAGTATTCCTACTTGAATACTGTATTATCACCCTTAGGATATGTTGCCTGCTTTTTAAATTTGTCTTTTGACATCTTGTCTGTGATACGCAGGCTTCATAACTTCAGATCCCCTTTCAAAATTCCATTTAATTTAGTTCCACCTATTGTTTTTCTCGTTTAGGGAACACGCATTCTTTTACTTGGGGACCATTCGCCGCTTTTCATGGAATGGCACTACTGTGTCACATTGAAGGTTCCATGATAATCGCCGTATGAACACATCTGCGGATGTCTCTAAATTCAAAATTTCACCATTTTTCGTGTTTAAATGTTAATCTAGACCAATTCAAACAGGCAGTAATTAAATTACAGTATAACTTGACTTGCTGTGTTTTAGCTTTTAAATCTTTCTTTTCCACTTACTAATAAAAACTTTTTAACAACGCTTTAAAGTTTTCAGTGTCTCTCACTGTCTCTTAACACTCGACGTGCACTTTTCCTGCCTATAACACTCGCGAGAGGGGTTGGCAGTGCTCAGATAGATGGGTAGATAAATATATTAATGTTGTTTATTTCTGCTGAGGAATAAAACTTTTGTATAAATGATTCGAATCCCGGTCAAAGCATGAGAATTATTCTAGTTGTTTGAAATTTGTTCTCATGAAAAGATAATACGAGAAATAAAACGACGTTTCAATAAAATAGAGTGAAAGAACTCTCACAAACGGCAAAAACAAAGATGTTGCAGGCTCGGTTCACATGCATACCAATTTGTCTTTGTCATTTTTTGCCTTCAGATAAATGAAATGCCATTTACAAAAAAAGAAAAAAAGAATCCGATATTTTCTGTCGAGGTAACTAAGAGTTTACCAAATGCACTTGTTACTTTAAATAGGCATTCAACAATCTCACAAAAGGATCTGATTCGGTAAAAATAAAATGTCATATGGTTATAAAATTAGAAATCTTTATATTGCAAAGGTGCTATTGATAATGAGACAGTATGGATTTTTTAACAGATATACCGTTTTAAAAAATTAGGCAATCAAAACTGTCTGTTCAATTCCTAAATGCAAGTAACAATTATCTATTGAAGGTATTATGAGTGACCTCGATAGCTGTTGTTGTTTTTAAATGTTTTTGAAACTTTTAGATTTTGAAACTCTTAAATTAAAAATTTAATTACCAAATGAGTGATCAACTTAATATTTCTATAAGCTCATTATACTAACTAAATATGCTTATCAGTAGAAGCTGGTGAGGGTTCAAGCAAATACAATACCGGTATAATATACTGTGCGTTTGGACCAAGGAAAATAGAAAGCTATTGTTTATTTCAGTTGAAAATATCACACTCTTATGTTTAATCAAATCTTTTTAATCTGATATCACCATCTCACGAAAGTCTTAACAAAGTCAGTTTAAACGTTACGACCAATGCTGCAGGTCCTGTACTTTTGTAATTTCGGTGTTCTATTACACATCATTAAGACATATTTTCCTTTAAAATAACAAATTCGAAAGCGTTCATTGTCTGCACTAGCAGTTCCATATTGTGGAAGATGTGGCTATTTGATTCAATGGCATTTTTTTCCATAATTATTTTCCCTTATATCCACAAAATCATGGCTATTATAACAGCTATTGTTTATGTCTGAATAAGCAGTACATGTAGAATGTATTACATCTGATTTAACATATACTGAAAGATATGATAACACAATAAAACAATATTTACAATTAAGCCAACACAAATAAACCAAGAAAATATAAGGGGTTTAGAACGATGGTAAAAAAAATTGATAGGTTTCAGTGATTGTTTTACATGGTCTTAGCCTTATATATACACCATACAGAGTACCAGACATGTTCGACTGGGACACCAGAAGAAAATGGTTGAGCGTAACCAGGGTTACGTTTATCTACAAAAACAATATTTGTTTTGTTTGTTTTTGTTTGGATTTACGGTGCACCAAAACAGTAAAAGTCATATGGCACCGAAACAGGAAAAGTTTATTTGGGCTTACATCGGGTGTTAAAGCAGCACGCCTCCAGATTCATGTTAATTTTTGTGAAAATGTTGGATTGTATTTAAAAGGTGGACAAGTACAGTAATTTAAATTACAAATAGAATCAAAGAAAATTACCAAAAAGTCGTCAACATATGCAAAAGAGCCCTTATTGCGTAAGTAACGCAGTAGAAATAATGAAAACTATGAAAGTACTTCAGTTAGTACCTTTAAATGTAAAAACATATTTTACACGTTCGATTTACCGCAACATATCATTTAACAGCAAAATGAACTGCCGTTTCCGTAAATAAGTCCATGTTTTATCTATGTTTATTTTGATTGAACTTCGTCATTATTTTACTTGATTCTCACGATTTCAACTTCTAAGTCGTAATTATAAAACTTTACATTTTTTGTTTGAAAAAAAAAATTGATTGAACTTTTAACAAATCTAATGAAGTATCTAATGAAGTATTTAATGTACAAACACAAGATGGGTTTTCTTAATGAAAACAACTCACCAAAATAACATATCTAAATCAATTTTTACTGCCATGAAACATTTCAATTTTCTTTGTCAAATTATTTCAAACAGACACAAATTCATCGTCAAAGTTGTCTGATAGACGTTTTGGGAAATCAATATAAAAATCTGGCATTATATTATATATTTTTACAGTGTTAATATCAATACAAATAATTAATGATGACGTATCATTGTGTTATATTTAGAAAGACCGAGTCAGCGCTGAAGATTTTTCACCATTTAATTTTCTTAATTGTTTACCAATTTTGATTTGCTTTTCGTTAAATTATCGCATTTACCATCAAATAAAAAATTCAGATATTTTTGTAAATTATTTACATTGCATACAGTCAGGATCTGTAATTGTTGTGATTATTAAAAGTTATGTTTTGCGCAATTTAAAATTTCTAAAAAAGGTGGTTGTGGTAAAACAGTTTTTACTTATATATACAGGGAAAGTCAAGATTTACGATCTACATCTAATTGAACAATATCTATGAGCTGCAATCTAAAACCTGGAAATAATACTACCGATTAAGAGTACATGTATAAACAGACATCATTAAAACCGATGAAAGAACAGTTATTCCACTTTTTAAAGCAGGATCAATTAAAAATGTTTACTTAAGTTTTCGAGAGCCGATTACAATAGTTAGAGCCTTATTTAATAAAAACTGATTGTGAAAACAGTGCTTACATACCTACTTCCCTAATACGCATGAAGTAAGCATACCAAACAATAAACAATGCCTTATTGCATCCTCACAATCTATTTACAAATTGTTTGTATCTATCGGCACATTGACACGCATTTTGCCATATTGAATCTTTGTATAGAGTTTGAAAATAGAAACAGATGCTTTTAAACCTTCTCCCATTACAATGTCACACATACTGTAACTTAAGCAATCTTGTTGTGGAATAAGTTCCTCGCAATATTTCAATGTTCTCTACGGATAACTTTTGCAGGTAAATAGTATTCAATAAAGTATCAATGTCAAAGCCAATCATTAATTGAATGATAATGATCTCAGTTTTAGGTGAAAAGCATAGTTTTAACCCGACTGATTACTGGAATAAAATCAGGAGGGTGGGTGCAAAGGGGATATTCTAGAAAAACCATGCGCCTATCCAAAATGTTACCCTGATTGAATACTTCAGTATCACAGATTATTATGAACGCATAAAATCTTATAATATAATATCATATAATACAAATCTAGTTCTTAAATTACAGAAAAGCTACTTTTACAACTCATGCCTTTAATCAACTGAATATAAAATTCCACTGGATACAAATGTAGGTCAGAAACGATTTATACATCGAAATCCGTATTTATTTATTTCTATATTTATACCTGAAATCTTCACAATATTTACAAAGATACTTTAAAATAAATTCTATCCTTTTACAAAATCCGATGTTCAAAGAAATGTCTAAAAACTTACAAAAGTTTTGAAGAAGAAACAAGAAAAAAATCCAATAACAAAGGAAATCAAACGAACCGCTTTTTACTTTTGTAGGTCCAAATGGCAAATACCACTACACAGGCAACAATCAATATTCCTGACACTGATACAGACACAGCTACAATTTCAAGTTTGCTACTTTCACCGCCGTCCTGATTGCTGGTTGGAGGTACGCAGTCTTATACAGCACAAAAAGACTTACATTAATATGGACATATTTTCATGTACACGTTAATCACGAATATATTGGACATCTTTACATCTACATTGTATTTTTATATTTTAATACCAATGACAAGGTTAATAATTATTAATAAAATGAAATGAATTGTCAAGTAACTGAAGCACACTGACAAGTAATACATGTATTTGCTTAGTTGCAAAAGTAAAGAAAGTGTGCACTGGTTACTTGGAAATGACGTAAACACGTACTTGTTTGAGCAAAAGGTGGCGAATGGTATCCAAATTTGCATAAATGTATTGACTAAACAATGGCTTACTTAATATCATTATACATATAGCGGAAGGGTAAAAAGTAACAGTTGTCATTTTGTGATTTTTAACACTTTTGTCTAGAAACATGACGATTAATTAGTATCTGTTGTATCCATCTCGAATGTGGATCAGGCTGGATGGACCTGACGTAACTTCATTTATGGAGGATGGTTTCATTGATGATCCATTCAAAATTCTAGTATCTAAAGGCAAAATTTGCAATAACAAAAAGCACAACTCTATAAGTTTTATTTTTTTGCTCGACATATGTTGACACGTAACCAAAGGTCTGATAATGGCCAAAATTTTTAATTAGATATTAACAATCTTTAGTCCGTACATTTCTGCAAATTGTGATATCATATATGCCAAAATGTCTCTGTAACCAAGTTTCTACTCAGAATATTTTGTTTAAAACGGCGATACTGTTGAATCGTTCTACACTTGTTTCGCATTTGATACGGAAGGGCTATTGATTTACGTCATGAAAATCTAAATCAGAACAAACGGAAATTTCTATAGACTTTTCTTTGCAAATAGCATTATACCATGTTGATCTGTCCACTGGTAGCTAGAAACTGATGGACAACAGACGAGGTCTTGATTTGGAAGACTTCGGTCACTGTCCCTGTAACACTGACTATCTATATAACATGTGTCTTTCTGTAAGCATAGAGTTTTTAATGTTCAATTTGATACAGATTAATAAAACTCATTTGAAAAACAAAACAAAAAACACCGAAACAATAACAACACAGAAATCCATGACTTTCTTAAAGGTTATGAATAAAAATTTAATCATCTATCATTTTTTTTTGTGGTACTATTATTACATTTGAAAAGCTTGAATTACAGAATGATTTTTTAATAAACAGTCACAAATTTTATCCAATTACTGTAGATTCTATTAGCATGTATACTTGTTAAATTAAATATTTGATCCTTACCTTCAAACTGAAAAGCAGGTCGCCTGTTGGCATCACGACAAATGACTGACATGTCGAATCAAAGACATGAACATGTCTACTTGGCCCGTAGTGTATTCCATCGTTGCTAACAGATACAGAGTATCTAACAGTAAACGTATTAGCTGTGACATCTCTTTTCTTCCTTCTTCGCTCTACAGCCGAGGGACAACAGTATCCGTCAAATACGCTCTCATATTCCCCGTTACGATCATGTTTATCAGAATAGATAATTGTTCCGTTTACATCAAGCTGTACAATTGAATTATAATAATCTTCATAAAAAACCGAACAATTAACCGAATAAATAATCAATGTGTTGTGTTAAATCTTAACAGCACTATCAAAGATGTTTCATATACATAGGAGACCAAAAGCGTGCATTATATGACAATAACGCGCTCGCGTTCACGCATGTGTTTCTAGTCCATCCCTGAATCCCAGCTACCGCAGTTTTTGGCTGAAAATTTGCAGAATCAACAAACATATTTATGGAGTTCTTCTATGCAATGCAATTGTACTTACAGAAAAAAGTTAATTTGCTGACATGTTTTACAGTAGATTGAAAATGCCCATGGCCCATCCACCGACGTGTTAGAATTAGTATATTTTCTTTTATTTCGAGATAACAAAGTGCACGGTATGTTAATATGAATGTTTGTTTCTTTAAAAATGCCCCTTTTAAAATACATAAAAAAGACCCGTTTTTTAATCGATTTTAAAACCTCGATAGTTTAGTCAGTAATCATAGTACAATATATCAAACCAAATGATGCAACTGAACCCACGTATGTTTGTTTTATTATGACATTGAATATTACGAAAAAGAGAAGCATTTCATAAACCTGTTTACAGGCATTTACTGCTCAAATACCAGAACAAGGTTAACATGATATTTAGGCTATTGTGAAAGTCTAGCTAATCTAATTACGACAATCTAGTATTAATGAGATTTATCGATTTTATCCATGTTTGATATCTGGCGTTCATACTGCAGAACAAAATTCTTAAATGTACATTCTATCACTCTTCACAGTTTTCTCAAATCAAACAGATAGGGCACACAATTTTTTTTTTTTTTTAACGCGTTTATTTAAGGTCGCCGCCGGAAAGCCCATATGGGCGACCGTACACTCAAGTCGGGCCATCTTAGAGCGTCCCGCTGAGATTTTTTCGTCGATTTTTGTCCAGCTTTATTGGTGGAGGAAGACCCCAGGTGCCCCTTCGGGCATTATTTCAGGCACGAGCGGGCACCTGGGTAGAACCACCGACCTTCTGTAAGCCAGCTGGATGGCTTCCTCACATGAAAGATTTCGACCCGAGTGAGGATCGAACCTACAGCGGTGAGGGACCTGTGATTTCAAGTCAGCGACCTTAACCACTCGGCCACGGAGGCCCCTATAAGGGCACATAAGTGCATTATTACACGATATATATGCACAGTATAATAACGCCAATAAACCAAATGACGCCAGGAAAATTACTTCTACGCTAAAAGCAGTTCAACATATTTTTAGTAGTTCTCTTTTTATTAGCATGTTAGAATGAAATTGAAGTTGATATTAATTTTCCTTACATTATAGCATCATAATGCACGGTTAACCGTTTAAATTCTTTATAATTAATCATTCAGGCCTATAAACCTTCGTGATTATAGTCCTGTACATTTAAACACCAACCGTGCATTATTCTGCAACAATGCATCAAAATTGCTATCCATTTCTTAAACATACATCGACCGTATCAATCCTGCACTTGAACCCTTTCAAGAGGTTCTCGGTGTGAAACTGTAGACAATCATGACAATCATCCCCGTCAGCAAGATCGCATTCACCTCCACCTTCTATATCGGTAAGTTCTAGAAGTGCTGATTTCTTAACAAAACAAGAATCGCCAACGTAATCGTCGTTGCATACACATGTTCCTGAAATATAGAAATAACATATGTAATTGAGTCTTACCTTTGTCGTCTTAAACAAATATATTCTCATATTGTTTGAAATTTGGACAACAAATTACATTGAAGTTTGCTGGTACTTCAATATTACTTACAGAACTAAAAAATAAGGAATCGTTAGGTAAATCACACATGCATATATCAACATTATATTGAAGTAACTGATTAATTGAACATATCGTTAATTGAACATATCGATCATTGAATCATAAAAGCAACATACCATTGATACAGTTCCCATTACCGTTACATTGCGATGGACATGTGACACTGCTAAAATTTCTGACAACCTCTGACTTGTCTTTTCTGAACGTTCCGTTACGACTGATTTCATGAGCCACAACACTAACCCAACTGTTATAACTTTCTTCCTTCCAGAAATCTCGACCGTCAACCTTTATAATTATCATAAAAATATAAACAGCTTGTCTTTTTAAAGATTAAAAAAAAATACTTTAACCGTCTGTTAAGTGTGTACTATAAACTGCGTATGAATTTAACAACTCTCTGTCTAATGCCACAAGCTATCTCGACTTATAACCCAAACTAGAATTTTCATTGAGGTAAAAAAAGCTGTATTTATTTAGATTATCATGCAATGCTTATTATAAAAGTGTGAGATTTTCTATTCATTTGTAACGCACATTTAAAAAATGATATATTACAATTACAATGATATGCTGTAACATTATTCGGGGGTTGAGCTGAAATATGAATATACATATACAGTCATAGTATCATAGAAAATAAAATTTCTCATGTAAAATAATCAGTTGTACAATGACCTGATAACAATAAACATCACTATAAAAAGTATGACGAATTATATATGTAAGCAAACAATTCATTTACTTTTTCAATATAATAAATCACAAACCATCATATCATTGACACATGCTGACAAGGAGTCATTCAATGCTATGTTAGGTAAATCACTTATCATGTTGTATGTAGGCTTTGATTTGAATACGTCAAGACATTCCTTGTATGCTTGTTCTTCAGTGAGATGAGAATTGGTAGTACTCTGTAAAGCAATTACAATATTTACATTAGAAGCACATAAGTGTATGATTATATTATGGAGATAATAATAATTTCCTTTGGGTACTAACGATAAACCAACATCACCCCTTAGGTACTAAATATGTTGTCTGTTTTATATGCAGATTCATAAACATCTAGTCCACTCTTCATTTAGATTCACCCATTATTTTCTCGTTCAATGCACAGAATTTCATTAAACAGAGTATGATCTGCTTTCCATGAAAAAACATTACTTTTTGTTAGCAAAAACGACAATAAACATATTCAGTGAAAAACAAGCAAAGGACTTTTCATTTTGTCTTGTTTAAAGACGTTAACTTATCCAACTGTTACTGTTTGGTCACACAATCTATGCTTTAACATTGTTTAATAAACTATATTTAAGTTTTGTATCGTAATACGGGTTTATCAAATTTAACGAAAAGTTAACATTTTTAATGGATGCAAATATACCAAAATCTAATTTTAAAAGTTCCATTCGATAGTTTGTTCGTTAATGTTAATAGTCTAGATATAAAATAATTTTTACCTTGCGGACACGGCTATTTGAATTCTTACTTAACAATGAGAGAGCGAGCAACCTTTCTATATTTCTTCTATGCCTTTTAATAGATCTTTTGTTTCTTATCGTGCATGTTTTCTTTTCTCCTGGAAGTTGAATGTTATCTGTACATGTAGCATACTGCTGGGAGAAACATATTGCCCTGGAATCTTTATGACCATTCTGTAATACTGGCAAAGTGGCATTTGGAAAAGCGCGTGGACATAGACACACGTTATGATCGTACGTCCATGTTGGTGGAAGACTGTAACGCACCGTATTGAACAAACTATGTTGTAACCTATATGAAATAAGTTTACGCTGTTTTAAGTCACGAAAAAGACATATAAAATAAAATAAAGGTTTACGAGTATTCACTCTTTTAATCTATCTGCAGTATTAAAGAGTACTAGTATTCATAAACGCATTGTTTGTTCGTCATATAAACATAAGATACACCATTTAAGGCAAGTCTATTTAAACCAATTAAATATCATAATAATCACATCATACTGAATAAATCGTATTGATATAAACAATCAAAAATTTACAAACAAATTTATCATTCAGTCTCTACTAATGGTTTAATCTTATATAAATAAAACTATATCAGTCTTACGGAATTTTATATCTCCGTTTAAAACAAAACACAAGCTAATTGTAAACGTAACTCTTTAAACTAAATATATTATCGATAAGAATGCTTATAGATATTTTATTATTTACATTGATGGCCAGTGGTATAAATATAAAACATATGGTCAGATGAAATGCAGAAATTGCAACAACTATGAATATGTTTTTAAATAAGGAAATAAACTTACTTCCATTTTTCGAAGTATGTATTATTTACTCTTTCTCCATTTCCATCAAGATTTCCACACAAACCTTCCGTATTTCCAACATCAGACGGAGATGGGTTAATATAAACATTTAAAAAGTTCGCTGTGTGATATGAACTTATATAAACTCTAATTTTTGTGCCAGTTGGAAGATATACCTAAAATATAATATTATAATAATTCACTTTTCCAATTAACTTATTACATATGTTATCTGTATTCTACTATCTTTTTGGTTTAGTAATTCTGGAAGTCTGCTTCCTTAATTATAAAGTTCTGTATTAAGTACCTAGATAATTTACGTAAACAAAAACTGCTTTGAGTGAAAATAAAAAATGATAAAAGGGGGCAGGAGACCTAAAAAAGAACAATTTTGTATTTCAGTGTGGCCAGACACCAAATATTTCAAAATTTGTTTTACAGGCAGATAACCAGTTTCATAGCATTATTCAATGATATAATGACATACATTGAAGGAAATAATAGTTTACATGCATTGCCCCTTAAAATGCATGACAGCAATTTATATTTACCCCCACCCAGCCAAAATCACACATGAAATATACGAATATGGGCAATCTTCATGATTATCAGCATACTCCAGAATCCGCCCGATTTCTTTAAAAATATCACTAACACACAGTGCAATCAATGGTATTTTCAAAATTGACCAATAAAGTGTCTTTCATACGTTTAGATTTTTCACAAAATTTATCCAAATTTTCTTACTTGTTTGGCACAAACTTTCAAGCTTGATTTTTAACTTTTTCACCTCCATTCGGAGAGTCACAAATACATACAAAGCTACCAAAATGCTTAGTTTCAGAAAAAACTTCTTATTTCCTACACACAAACAAGAAAGAATTACAATGACAGAGAAATATCAAACGTTTCCAACACCTTCAAAGCACCATGTCTGAGTTATATATAAAAAAAGATTTGACCGGGGCCATCATTCGGATTTGTCCCCTGCCCTCATATACCTTTACAAGGTAGAATAATAATTACCTCATAACTTCTTGCATTGAGTTCTCTTACATTGAGGACATTTCCACGACAATTCATGAACTCCGCTCGTCTTATTTTACTGCATATATCAATCAAAAATACGTCACCACCGGCCTGAATTGCCACAGCGCATGTACATGAAGATGTATATGAGTGAAAACTACTGTCCGCATCACATAATTTAGTTTTAATCTGAACCTCTGCCAAACTTTCTGTATTATTATACAAAAGGTAATGGCTAGAATCTTTTATATATGATTGATGTGGCCAGTAACCAAATCCATCAAATGTTGCTAATGTAGGATCATTTTGCACTGAACATGTTTTACTTTTCCATTTATTGTTTTGACTTCCTCCAGTTTCCCAAACACATTTTAGAAAGTTCAAGTTCTTAGATGAAGATACTGTTTATTCAGTCATTAAATAATTAATCGTTTAAATATTAATATACTTTTACATTTTATATGGTAGTTTTTCCTATTAATATTGGAATAAAAATGGTATCATACGTGATAGACAACAGTACATTTTAAGCGAAATCAATTGCGTCTTGAAAACGGAAACATGATTATTATTTTAATTTGTGATTAATGAATAAGCTGACATTCCGTTCCAATTAAATTTATATTTCAAAGTAATGACTTTTCCTCTGAAAGTTCCGTGTTCAAACAATTTATAGAGTATCAAATATATTCTGATGATTTAGATCAATAAAATGACTGAGCTCAGATTAAATAAACTATGTCACGTTTACTTTGATGAGGTAAGGTATTTTAACTTTTGTTCCAGTTTTCTTTGTTAAGAACGATATACGAGGGTTGATCAAAGGATCCTGGCCCGATGTACTTCCGGTAGTCAGAAAACCCAACTAATGGTCTAACTTTTCAATGTAATTGCCCTTTAATAACAAGGGCTGTTTTTAGTTGCAAATAGATCTACTGTAAACATACATTATAATGAGAAAAAAATTATAATACACAATTTAATAATGGTAATTAAATAAACATTTTGTTGGTGAAATTATCAATTCAATCCAAATAAAAAAATTGGTTACTTTTGGTAGGATTAGACTAGTAAATTTTTATTTTTCATTTTTATTTTCATGATATAATGATACATGTTATAATAAATCAGATACAAACCCTGATAACTCACAGACAAAGGCTGATGCTGCAATTCCCAGTACATCGCAAAATGAAACATGTGAAATTCCAGAACCTGTAACTAGCAAGTTCAATTACTTTTTTATCAATTATCTTTCTTTACCTACTGACTAATGTTTGGCAAATATTGTTTGAAAACTGCAACTTACATCCACAATATTAGGGATTTGTCATTATTTGACCACCTTGCATGTGTTTTCATCTTTCATCATTTCATCTTCAACAAGCAAATTCGTTGAATTTATATCCCCCGTCGAGTACTGGTTATTACTAACACAACAACTGAAGACATATGGCTTTATTTATATATTTATCATGGCATAAACAGTAATATTCTTTGTACTTGATAAATATTCAGGGCAATAACAGAGCTATAACTGTGTTAAATAGTCATATCAGGGCATGCAAATGAGATGTAAATAGCCTTTGTGTATCCATGGTTGAAATCAATACAGCAGTTGCAAAAAAATAGCAATATTGCTCTATATGCATACTACATAACTAATCAAGGGTCATAACTCTGTAATGAAGGGTCTGGTCTGAACAACTTCAACAAGGCAACAATATGCACATCTCCGCTTGGTATTAATGGTTGCCATAAAGTTTAATTGAATTCCAGAGAGTAGTTGCAGAGAAAATGCGCGGAAACAATTATTGCTCTATATGCATACTGCATAACTAATCAAGGGCCATTACTATGAATTAAAGTGTCTGACAGGAACAAGGCGATGCTATGCGCATCTCCTCTTTGCATTGAAGGTGCCCATAAAGTTCGCTCTATATGCATACTGCATACCTAATCAAGGGCCATAACTCTTGAGTTAAAGTGTCTGACCAGAACAAGCCAACGTTATGCGCATCTCCTCTTGATATTAATGATTCCAATAAACTTTTGTTAAATTCCAGCCAGTAGTTGCAGAGAAGTGGTGCGGAAACGAATATTGTTCTTCATGCATACTGCATAACTAATCAAGGGTCATAACTCTGAGTTACAGTGTCTGCCCGGAACAAGGCGACGATATGCGCATCTCCTCTTGGTATTGAATGTTCCCATATAGTTTCATTGAATTCAAGCCAGTTGTTGCTGAGAAGTAGCGCGGAAACGAATATTGTTCTTTATGCAAACTGCATAACTAATCAAGGGCCATTACATTGAGCTAAAGTGTCTGACCGGAACAAGGCGACGATATGAACATCTGATCTTCGTATTGAATGTTCCCATAAAGTTTCGTTGATTGTTTGTTTGTTTGGATTTTACGGCACGTCAACACATAAATGGCCATATCGTGCCAAATGCTATAATAAGCTTAAAATATTATGTAAAACTTTGTAAATGATAATAAAAAAAGAGCCAGTTAGATCCTTGAATACAAGTTTATCTCTTTCAAATAATCGATGATGTTTTTTGATGGAATTGTATTAAAGAGTTCTTTGAGTGAAATTACATTATAAAATCTATTACGGGCCTGTGAAAAATCTATTTGTTCTTGATAAAACCTTTAGTAAATTTAAAGCTTTAAGGTATTTAGTTTTCAAATGTTTAATATGTGGTATAAAAGAAAGTTTTTTTCAAATATAATTCCTAAAAACTTAGCTTCATCAACTACTGGAATTTTAGAACCAGATATGTAAAGTTCAGGGACATAATGGTGTTTCCGCAATCGACAAAAATGAACACATTGAGTTTTTGACTTTAAAAATTTAAAACCATTTTCTATTGCCCACTTTTGGATTTTATCTAAATTTTGTTGAAGTTGCCTTTCAATTGTTCTCATACTTTTCGATCGATAGCAGATAAGAAAATCATCTACATATAGAGAAATCTATGCCTAGTGTAAGAGCGCTAGCAATATTGTTTATTTTAAGGCCAAAAAGTGTAACAGAAAGTATGCGTCCTTGAGGAACACCTTGTTCTTGTTGGTGATCCTCAGAAAAAGTTGAACCAAGTCTTACTTTAAAGTGCCTATCGTCTAAAAATCTAGAAATGAAAAGAGGAAGTCTGCCTTTAAGTCCAGCATCCTTTAGGATACCATATTTCCAAGTAGTATCGTAACTTGAGCCTTCTCAAGAATACCAGGGTGTTGTTTGTTTACAAAGGCTTCTCTAAAAAAAGTTTCAAGTCGTACAAGATGATCGTTTGTACTTCGTTGTTTACGAAAACCTGACTGAAAATTAGTAATAATTCCATTATTTTCTAGATACCAAACTAACCAATTATTTATCATTCTCTCGAATGTTTTGCAGAGGCAACTTGTTAGTGAAATTGGGCGATAATTTGTAGGGTCAGTGGAATCTTTCCATGTTTAGGGATTCCAGCCAGTAGTTACAAATAAGTAGCGCGGAAACGATTATTGCTCTGGTTGCATACTGCATAACTAATCAAGATCCATAACTCTGAGTAAAAGTTTCTGACCGAAACAAGCCGACGATATGCGCATCTCCTCTTGGTATTGAAGGTTCCAATAAAGTTTTGTTGAATTCCAGCCAGTAGTTGCAAAGAAGTAGCGCGGAAATGATTTTTGCTCTATATGCATACTGCATAACTAATCAAGGGCCATAACTCTGAGTTAAAGTGTCTGACCTGAACAAGCCGACGATATGCGCATCTCCTCTTGGTATTGAAGGTTCCTGCATTGAAACATTTAGAAGGACTGATATAGAAATGGAGGACATAATCATGTCAAAATGCTCGGGAAAATCAGCAGAATGTCTGCAAAATATGTGGAAGAAAAGAATATACAGAGAAATGAAGAGATATCATTAAAAAGAGTGGAAAATAATGAAAACTGGTTAACGGGTTACGAAGAAGAGTTTAGAAAAACATCCGAAAATATTAATCCAGTTTTCAAGAAAGTAAAATAAATGAAATAACTAGAAATGTGTCCATAGGACACGGATGCCCCCACCGCGCCACTGTTCTGTCAATCTTTTTACTAAGTCAAGGGAAATTACTCTACAAATACTGGATAAATCCACAAGCAAAACCCCAGGTGCAAATCTAAAATATGCTGAGCAACCTGCCTATAAGGTTAAATGACTATGTCAAATCCTTTTTGAGAAACTTGCGACACAAGTTGAAAATTGCAAAAATTTTCTAAGTGAAGGGCAATAACTCTAAAAATACTAATTAAATCCAGACGAAAATACCTGGTGCACAACTGCACATGCTAATCAATATTCCTGTAAAGTTACATGACTCTAGGTCAAATACTTTTTGAGTTACCTGCGACACGTGTTGAAAATTGCAAAATTTTACTAAGTCATGGGCAATAACTCTGAAAATACTAAAAATATCCAGACAAAAATACCCAGGTGCACAACTACACATGCTGATCAACATTCCTGTAAAGTTTCATGACTCTAGGTCAAATACTTTTTGAGTTACATGCGACACAAGTTGAAAATTGCAAAATTTTACTAAGTCAAGGGCAATAACTCTGAAAATACTTAAAATATCCAGACGAAAATACCCAGGTGCACAACTACACATGCTGATCAACATTCCTGTAAAGTTTCATGACTCTAGGTCAAATACTTTTTGAGTTACGTGCGACACAAAAGTGAACGGACGGACGGACGGAAGGACGGACGGAAGGACGGACGGACAAGGGTAAATCTAAATGCCCGCCACTAACGTGGGGGCACAAAAAGAGAAAGGCCAATGTCATACGCAGAGGCAGTAAAAAGCAGACCGTTTAACGGGAGAGCGCGTAGCAAATCAAGAAATTGTTATCAAAGAAATTCGGAGAATTTAAAAGAACTACTGCAAGAATTTATTACAAAATTAAACAGCAACGAAACGCAACAAAACAAAAGAAGTTTTGGTCATCAACAAAACAGAAGAAACAATTTTGATCAACAACGAAACAATTATAATCAAGAACAGCGAAAACCATAGCGAAATAGGTCAAACAATTCCAAAATTTCACAAGATGATGTGGACAGGCCAGATGATTTTCATTCTTTTTTGAAGGCGGACCACAACTGGACATGCGAAATGTAGAAATAGGTAACCTAGTTAAAACGTATCCAATATTTACAATAATATATAATCTTTCAAATAGAAAACTTTCAGAATATGAAAAAGTGTATTGTTGATGGGTCTAAAATTTTCACCAACACCAGAAAAATATAATCCTAGAGAACTTTATATTGATATTTCAGAATTTTTTCGTAAAATACGATTGCTTGAATATTTTGATGAAACTGAGAATAAAGATATTTCTTTGGCAAACAATAAAACATATTTCAATTCACCTAGTGGTCGTAATGGAAACTTAGATACATATATATATAACAACTAATACTTGGTGTTCAAGTGTTTTAAATGAAAAAAAAAACGTTAAACATAACATTACTTTAAACCAGCGTAAAGCTCTTAAATCACTTGCAGAAGATAACACAATAATTATTAAAGAAGCAGATAAGGGTGGTGGTATTGTAAAAATGAATGTAGACTTTTATAAAAGAAAAATTCTAGAAATGTTAAAAGAAGAATCCTACTACAAATCTATGCCTGATTTTAATAGGGAATTTTTTTTTAAAAATAAAAGAGCTTATCAGCAAAAATACCAGATTAACAACAAATGAGATTGATTTTCTGTTAAATTTTGAAACAAAACCAAGTACATTTTACGGACTTCCGAAAATTCATAAAAGTAAGATTATTCCAGAAATATGCAAATCAAAAGCTTCTGAATATATTGAAATACTTAATCCGGAAGACTTAACATTTAGACCTATAGTTGCTGGTGGTCCTCAATGTGAAACTACCCATTTAAGTTCTTTTCTTGATAATTTATTAAAACCTTTCGTGGGAAAAGTTCAAAGTTACTTGAGAGATGATATTGATTTTCTGAATAACATACCAGAGAAAGTTGAAGAAAATACGAACTTAGTTTCATTTGACATAGTTAGTTTGTACACAAATATACCCCATAAACTAGGTTTAGAAGCCATTTCATTTTGGTTAAATAAGTACCCAGAACTAATTACACATCGTTTTGATAAGAGCTTTATATTAAATGGCCTTGAAATAATTTTACAAAATAATATTTTTTCATTTATTAATCAATATTATAATCAGGTAAAAGGTACAGCCATTGGGACAAAGGTTGCTCCCACTTGTTCTAGGTTATTTAGAAGAAATATTGTATTCACAAATTAACAAACAGAAAGGTGAAGATTTTGCTAATTATATTAAATGTAACTGGAAAAGATTTTTTGGATGACTGTTTTATGTTTTGGCAAAGATCTCTGATTGATTTATTATATTTTGAAAAAAAAATACTTAATTCACTTCATAAAAGATATACAATTTAAGAAACAACAAAGTACAGAGAGACTTCCGTTTTTAGATGCAATGGTTATTAAGAAAGGAACATATATAGTCACTGATGTATATTTTAAAAGTACTGATTCTAAACAATATTTTAATTTTAAATCGTGTCATCCAAAACACATTAAAACAAATATCCCGTTTTCTCTAGCAAGGATAATATGCGCAATTGTATCGGATAAGGAGATACTAAAGATTAGACTTAAAGAACTTTCCATCACTCTAATTAAAAGAAAATTTCCAATTCAACTTATAAAAACTGGTATTAAAAAAGCTTTGGAGATTTCTCGAACCACCTTACTTGAAGTTAAAGAGCAATCAAAAAACAAAATTCTTCCATATAATTATTTCAACATGTAACCCGAAAAACAGAAAATTGTTTGGCATAATTAAAACAAACATGGAAATTCTGAAACATGAAAAAGATTATAAACAACACCACCATAATACAAGAGCGATCAGTGATCACATGTGTCGCCTCATGATGGCCAATTTCATGTTGGGACAAGTTTTGTGACAGACAGACAGTGCACAACTAGACTTGGTACTTATCATTCCTGTAGAGTTTGGATAAAATTGCACTAGTAGTTTATGAGGATTAGTCCGGACAAGCTTTTGTGTATCTGGCAACACACAGAAAAAAAACACCTTTTTATCAAAGGGCCATAACTCGGCAAAAAATCATTCAACCAAAAAACCCGTGCAATATGGTCAACAACTTGAGCTACAGATCAATCCTGTAAAGTTTCATTGAAATTGCATTAGTGGTATAAGAGAAGTAGTCCGGACAAACTTTAAAAATAAAAATTATTAAAGGGCCATAACTCTGAAAAAAATCATTGAACTGAAAAATGCTGACGATATACACAACTCGACTTGGTACTGATCATTTCTGTAAAGTTTGGATGAAATTGCACCAGTAGTTTATGAGTAGTCCAGACAAGCTTTTGTGTATCTGGCAACACACAGAAAAAAACACCTTTTAATCAAAGGGCCATAACTCGGCCAAAAATCATTCAACCGGAAAACCCGTATAATATGCGCAAGGACTTGAACTACAGATCAATCCTGTAAAGTTTCTGAAATTGCATTAGTGGTATAAGAGAAGTAGTCCGGACAAACTTTAAAAATAAAAATTATTAAAGGGCCATAACTCTGACAAAAATCATTGAACCAGAAAATGCTAACAATATGCACAACAAGACTTGGTACTGATCATTCCTGTACAGTTTTGATGAAATTGCACCAGTAGTTTATGAGGAGTAGTCCGGACAAGTTTAGTGACGGACGGACAGACAGACGGACGGACAGACGACGGAGAAGTGATCCCTATATGTCGCCACTACTCCGTAGAGGCGCCACAAAAATGCAAAAGACAATTACCAAATTTAAAAAGTATTTTAATAAGGTCAGAATTTAAAGAAAACAATATAATGCCCTGTGTTAAAAATGCAACAAACAGAGGTGTGGCCTCTGTGATTATTTAATAGAAGGATATTTTTTTAAACTTCAGAATAAAATATTTCATACAAAAGAACATATGGACTGTACTGTTGAAAATGTTTTAGTTTGCAACGGCTGCAAAGAATTTTACATAGGCCAAACAGGCGACAAACTTAGAAACAGAAAAACTGTTCATGCTCAGCAGATCAGAGACCCATCAACAAGACAATTACCTTTAAGGGAACATTTAGATAAATGCTCTAAAAAAGACCCGAAATTTTGTATTTTCCCATTTTATAAATTTCACAGTAAAAACGTTTCAGCCAGGTTATCTAAAGAACGCTATTTTATTGATGTTTTTTATCCAAAACTTAATACTATATAATGACGTTACTATTTTTAGATTATGCGTACACATGTGTACACACAAACGTCGCCGTTACTATTCGACGACGTCACATTTGCCCTGATGATCATAGAGAAACCGGTTGGCAAATAATTAAATAAGTTAATTCATGGACTGTGTTTTTTGTTTAATTTATCTGTGACTTTTTTCCGGCACTTGTTTTCATTTTTTGTAAATATATATCTATTGTAACGACCAAGCACCTAGCTCATTGATATTTTCGGATAAGATGTTCTATCCGACTACTTAAACACTAAGAACATACGAGGCCTTTCCGGTCTCCGAATAAATGGTAACCATGATTCCCGTCGTGAATCAATACCTTTTACATATGTCAATGTATTAAATGCGCTATTATAAAACAATAACATTTTATATATCCATAAAATACATAAGAAGCACGTTTATTTCACAAATTAGTTTCCCGGCTGCAGCCGTTCCGAATGTAACGGTTTGGGCAAAATTCTGGCACTGACGTCATCGGCTATATGACGTAGATGTCTTACCCCTGAAAATAAATACAAATATTTCGGAACATGCATTCCGGCTGTCAGTATCTGGATAGAATTTTGTATTGTAATCAAAGTCGATTACAGACTTAGAAATGCCAGTTACACCTTACTCTATGGTAATATAATTATATATGACAGTTTTATTGCATCTGAATTATTAGCCTCAGATAATATTACATTTCCTGACAGTTAAACCCATCTTAGTGTATTGTTTAATGTGACATAATAGAGAAGTACCTTATACCAGCTTCTATGGTATTTTATTTTACATTCCTGAAGTTCCAGCTACCATGAAATTATGATCACCTATTTAATGTACATGTATTTATATGAACCAATATAGACTATAGTTACCTTATGAAATGTAACAGACATTTTAATATAAACCATATATATCTACATATAACTTAGTTGATGTCATACTTTGCTACTCTACATTGATATAGCTATTCTTTGGTATAGTTCACAGCCTATAGCCGAGGATTATCTAAAACCCTTCCTGACGTGGCCTATTGACGAGGATCTTCCAGAATATTTACGAATTTAATCTAAATAAATTATTTGTGTACTTTCATTTCAGGTTTTGTGTTCAGTTTTCACATTGTAGGTTCAATTTTTAATAATACTCAACTTGTGTTCGAGAAGAACTCGCGTTCTGGATATTGAGGCGTGCTTGGGATGCAGACCCGGAATGCGTTTCAACTAGTGTCAGAAGTGGAATTGATATTGAAAATTATTTATTCCAACTGACATTCTGCAATTCCAGAACTTGCAGAAAAATCAGATCAGAGACCAAAATCATATTTTATTTATCACAATAAATCAGTTCATTCCATTGTATTATTCTACAACATCTTGAGTTTCTGCTGATTTTATTGTATGTCCAGGTGCTGACCATTCAATCAAATAAGTATCATTGTTGATTGGATTTTATTTTAGCCTTATTTCCAGTGACTTTTGCTGCCTGCATTCCGAACTGATCATCCTGAAAGCAGAAAGGAAGAAAACATTGTACATTTACCTCGTTTAATTATCGTTGATTTTTCATTTTTTACTGTTCATGAAAGTGTAGATACCATTATCTTTTACCATAACCAATGGCAGAAAACCATATAGAGGTGGACGCCCAGGTTAACCAACCTCACGAGTTAGATAATTTTGACACTGTATCACAATGCACAGAACAGTCAAGATCTAATTCTCCTGTTGATATTTCTTATACAGAAACTAGAATGCTAAGAATTGAAGGACAAATGTAAGAAGCTATTGTTTCTATGGGAGAAACTGTTGAACAGAAATTAAACAGTATTGAAACAAGATAAACCCATTTCGAAAACAGAAATACAAATTCAGTAGAATCACAGACAGACGTAGACCATGGTGACAATAATGTACCTTTACAAAGAAGTTCTAATAATAACTTTGTAAAAGTTAAACCACCTACCTTTGATTAAATGAGTTCCTTGTATCATTTCAAATATGTTGTGTCTTGCATAACTAGATAACCGATCCAAGAATTTATGCCTTGCCAGTAGTTTAAAGGGAGATGCCCGTTCCATGTTAACAGAACTTGATACTGCTGACCGCTGTGAAGTAGACTTGTTAACCCAGCGTTATGGTCCTGCAAATAAAACAGACATTTATAGAACTAAATTAATGGCTAGAGCTAGAAATAAATTTGAGACAGTATCTCAATTATCCCAAGACATATGGAGACTTACAAGAAATACCTATACCACCGTGCATATCCTGTAACGCAGGAATGTGCAAATAAAGTAAACGTAACGCCGAATCGGTGCAACGCTATTGCCAAAATAAATAATCTGGTGACCTACCATTTTGGATTCTCTTTTAAATGCAGCAGTTGTAGTAAATTGATACCAAGGAAACCAGAAAAGGGGAAACATACATCTGGAGTACCAGATCCTTCTTTTTACCTCTTACACAGTGAGTCGGGAGTATTTGGTCACGAGGCTGTAGTAAAGCAACAACATACGAGTTCTCAGATAAGATTTAAACCGAGCCTGCAACATTTTAAATTTTGACGTGTTGGGCTTTCTTTAGGGATTCTGTTTTTCTCTATTTTCATGGAGGAACAAACCAAACACAGCCTAGAGAAACAAGTCAAACAACAGCATTCAAACATTCTATATCTACCTACAAAGTACAAAACCCAAAGAATTTCACCTCCCATGCACCAGATTATTAACCTGCAACTGTAACTTCGCCGATTTGTTTTTGTACTGCTATGAAAGAAACT